CGACGACGCTGGCGACGGGCGACGGGTGACACGACGACCACGGGCGAGTGAAGCTCCCAGGCGATGGCGACGAGGGCAGCTACTTCGACGAGGGGCAGCAGCACGAACGCAGGCGGCTGGAGCAGCTATTGAGGCCCCGTTTGGACAGCCAATGCAGGCCGCCCCAGCCAGTGGCTAGTTCAAACGGGGTCTCCGTTTCCCTCCAAAAACGAACGGCCCTCGGGCCGTCGATCATGGATTATCGACGGCCAGAGGTCCGTCCCAAGTTCGAAGGAAAAAAAACAGGCCTCGCAGGCCCGACGCGCCGTTTTCTCGGCGTGGTCGGACCCGGTAGGCCCTGGGGAGGCCAAAACCACCCGATGTGGGGTTGGAAACCCCCCGCCAACAAGGTGTGCTGGGGGCGCCCGGCCCCCAACCGGGCCGCCCGCACGGCCAGGCCGCCCGGGACCTCCCCCGGGCGGGTGCCGGTCGGCCGGGCGGCCCGGATCCGTACTCAGGAAAAGGAAGAATTAGAAGAAGAAGAAAAAAGATTCAGCAGGAGAAAGAGGAGGAAAAAGGGCGAAGAAGAAAGGAGTACTCACCAACCATGTGTGCGGAGGGGGCGGTTCCGAAGGCAGCAACGGAAAACAGGCAAACGAATGGGATGGCACAAAGGACGATGTGTGGCAACATCACAATGATTGTACAAACGGGAAACCCTCATCTGTAGCACCAGTTTCCTGACATGGTTCCTTTCGTGTTTTTTTAAAGGTGGCGGCCTCAAGATATCATCGAACTGATAGGCCTTAGGTAATTCAGAATTGTAGTATTTTTACTATTTTACTCATCTGCTTCTTTTGGAGTTCGAACTCAGGTCTGTATTTCAACAGTTCAGGGGGGGGGGGGTAAGTGTGCCAACTGAGCGAGGCCAGTACTTGAACAGGATCCTGACATGGTTCCTGTTTTTCCTCTCTTGTCCTTTCTTGCTCGCGTGCAGTTCCGCGAGAAACGGTTTTGAGTTTGGCACATACAGTGATGGTTGCGTGGGCAGAGGCGACTGTGCGGAAAGTGGACATCTCCTCTTTGTACCTGTCACAATGGTGCGAGATTCAGGGGAACAAAAGTTTGATCGAGTTCCATGTCAAGCTACCTGCTGTGAATGCGCACAACGAAAAAATACGATTTTCAGAGAAAGGTAGCGCAGCGCAAGGTGCCACACAGTCATTCTTCTGAAACAGGTCAGGCCACATCCATCTCTGGTGAACTATGCGATCGTAGAATGCGGGGCAAATTCGCGTATGTTGTATTTTGGGGGACATAAACCAGGCCATCATGGGGATTTTTATCTATCCTGAATGGACACATGTGGAGTATGAACTGAAGCATGAACGAAGGCAAAGGAAAGCAGAGAGTGTCGGCAGAGGCTGCTAGTAGTTCGGGTATTGCAGGGTCTGCGATTTTTGTCAGGCCGGTCAGTTTGTGGTGCAGAAGCCCTCCCTCTATGGGATTTGTGTGTGCCTATGGCAATTGCAATTTGTGTTTGAAGCCGGCGCAGCAGCCCCTCTGTGTGAAGGCTGTTCGGTACAGTATACACCTTGCAAGGTGAAGGGCCTTTCGGTAGCGCTACAACGCCGCGTGGACCCTGCACCTGCCGACAGTCATGTTCCGTTATGGCCATTATGTTTGGGTTGGGCCTTGCCTCTAGAGAGACCTGTAATCGAAGAGGGAGGTGTCAGTTTGAAAATTCACAATTGAATTTGGAACCATGGTAGAAGTTTGAAATCTTCTCCTTCAAGCTGAACTGGAAGACCATACCAGTTGCTTGCCACCTTGGTGGAAGTTCGAACTCTCGTTCAATGTGTGTATGGAGCGGACGATTCATTGCAGCGCTCTTCAAATGTTCTCGCACGTTCTGGCAGGGGAATGGGATAGCTGGAGTTATGATTTGCAGTGACTGGGCATGAGTGTGAAGTCACAAATGGGTCCATTCAAGAACAAATGAGTTACTTGGGCCTGACCAATTGGAAGTTTTGGGTATTCCATTGAACATGGAGTCGTCGCAGTGCGCAGATGCTGCAGGTCTCTGTGGGCTTGAGCTCCTGGCTATGATGATGGACAATTTTGCACTTTTTGATTTATCCTACGGAAAATCGGCTGACATGAAGAGCATATGCATACATACAGCTCCCCTTCACCATTTTTCTCAGTTGCCAGAGTTTTCCAGTCATTGCAGCAGGTCCCATCTGACCCTGGAACAATGCCCGATCCGAGAGGTGGGTCAATGTGACATGAACCACTGGTCCAGTGGGACAAGACCTTTCCACCCTCGGATAGCGAACCTTGACATCCATCCCCTCCTCTGCATGGTTATGCTCATCCTCCCCTGCTTGTCGCTGCTGCGGCTGCATCCCAGACTCTCTTCCCTCCGTCTCCCCATCACCCGCTCCCCGCTTCTCTCTGCCTTTGGACCTCTCTTCACCAGTGCTTGTCGTGATAGCCTGGAACGAGGGACAGACAGCCTGGTTCCTGGATTAGCTGGCTCCATGATGAGATTCGGGACACTGAACCCTGCTCCTTCGCAAGACGTCTCGTGAAGGAGAGAGGTTGTGTATGTTTCCCGGATCTCATTGTGGAGCCAGCTAATCCAGGGACTAGGTTGTCTGTCCCCGGTTCCAGGCTATCGTGATGCAACAAGTGCACGAGAAGAAGGGCAGGGAGGAGTGGCACAAACACTGATTGTACATAGGGAAGAGGGAGATTGGGTTGAAGCAGAAGCTGCACTTTTCTTCCTTCTGGCATATATATATATATGGATTTTCGATTCCAATCCAAGTGTGGATGTCAAGGGTGTTCCCTATGATCACACTTGCTGCATTAGTCTTGATCGCGCATATATATATATATATATATATATATACATCTGGTGTGGGTGAGTGATAGTCTACTTTGATTTTGGTTAAGGTGGATTATCACTTACAGTGCTGTCTCTTATACACATCTAGATGTGTATAAGAGACAGGGACTAGGTTGTCTGTCCCCGGTTCCAGGCTATTGTGATGCAACAAGTGCACGTGAAGAGAGGTCTAAGGGCAGGGAGGAGTTGCACGAACATTAATTGCACATTTCCCAGATCTCATTATGGATCCATCTATTCCAGGGACTAGGTTGTCTGTCCCCGGTTCCAGGCTATTGTGATGTAACAAGAGCACGTGACGAGAGGTCTAGCAGCAGGGAGGAGTGGCACGGACATTAATTGCACATTGGGAGGAGAGAGGCCGGGCTGAAGTATGAGAATAACCACTCAGAGGTGGGGTTGGATGTCAAGGGTATTCTCTGTGAACACTCTTGTTGCATAGTCGTGATCCTAGTGGAAAGGTCCTGTCCCATGGGCCAGCGGGCTTATGTCCCATTAAGCTAGTTCCAGGGTGAGATGGGAGCTGTACTGGTTGACACTGTTTGCACGCAGGAGGCTTTTCAGTATGTCGACGGGTTAAAGTACTTGTCACGATGGCGCAGAGCCTCTCCTTTCCACAAGGATTCAGATTTACTGATCCTTCCTTGTCGAGTGATCCCGGAATTCCAGATTGACGCAGTTTCTGGAAGGAGTGGTTTCGAGTGCGGTCGGTCCCAACAGGATGGACAGGAAAGGAGATTTTTATGGGCGGTTGCGGGATTGAAATGAGATAGAGTTGCTGGCTTGGCGAGCTGGTCGCGGCAACACAGCAGGAACTGAAGGACCAACGAAGCATGATTGACCTTGGAACAGGAACTACTAAAGAAAGCACCAGTGTCCCAGGGTCCCGTGGCATGTGTGGTATGAGTGGACGTGCCGGGGTCAGCAACGCATCTGGGTGTGGTGAGGCCGGAACTTGGACGAAAGGAAATCACGTGCCATTAGCTGTGACCGAGATGGCTCAGAATCGGAACTGGAGGCAGCTGGTGATGTTTCATTGCAGACGACAAGTCGTCATATGAAGAAGAGCTATGACTATAAGACCGCGGCCGTCATCGGTTCATCGGTTCTCGATCGGTTTTCCCTTTCTTCTTTTTTTTTACAGGAGTGCCTCGAAGTCGATGTTGGGGCTGGTGATCGTAGGTCGAAGCCGTATTCCTTGGTGCAAAAGCAAGTCTTTTTTTTTTCCGAGATACTAGTAGTTTCATAAGGCAAAGTCGTCTTCTTAGATGCAAAAGGGCTTGATCCTCGATGGCAGAGTACAAGGCATCTTGTGAAGGGCCAGACCAGCGAAAAATAGAGAAGAGAACAGAGTAAGACATTCTTTAGGCGATTGAACTGGTGGATGGGGAGGGTTTTTGACGAGTGCTGCTTGCGGGGATAATCTTGAGCGTCTATCTGATTCCACCTTTTGGGTGATATTGCCTGGCAGCAAATCTATGTATGGGTAATAAGGTCTTGGCTGGCAGGCGATCTCTTTGGGGCTGGCGAGCGATCTATCGGATGGTTCATGGTATATTAGGTAATAAACCGAACAGCCGTGGAGGAGCACTCTGTGTACCTAATACCATGAAGCTTCGGATAGATCGCTCAGCCCCGAAGAGATCGCTCACCTTGTGTCCTGGCTTTGAGTGTGTGAGTTTTCCTGTGAACCTTGGGAACCGTTGAACAAACGGTTGTTGTCCCTTGTGCGACTGAACAGAGCATGCACTCCTCTAGTAGTTTTTTTAGATTGACCGCTCACCTTGTGTCCCGGCTTTGAGTGTGTGACGGACTTCCTCGTGCACAGGGAAAATGAGAGATGGCTTCCGTGCACTGAAGACGAGGCGGAGGTTGTGGCGTTGTGAGAGAGCCGACTGCAGCAGCGATGTACTCCTATGGCGTCGATGAGCATCTCTGCTTATGCGTGCCATTGCGCTGGTAGCACGCACGATAGGGCCCCACGACAGTCTTCGCGCATAAGGGGTTGGCTTACTGTGACAAATTGACAATACTTTACTTTTGTCATTGGTTTTACTTGGTTGAATCATTGGAAGCCAATGGTCACCAGAGTACTCAGTACAGTGACGAAAGCATTACTTCACCACTAGGGGATCATGTCCTCAGGATGTGGTGACTGATGATAGTCATTTTTCCTCTCAAGCAGATGAGATAAGGCAGCAAGAAGAACCAGGGGAAATTGGGCAACGACCTTACCCGCCAATGTGGTCGTAGTCATGGGGGGTGTTTTTGGGTGGATTTTAGGGGCTTGTGCTGTACGGACTGTGTGGGGGCTTATGGGCTCATTTGCTGTGTGTATATTCGTCTCTACATCCCTACTACTACGAAGTCGGAATATGGTGTTTTCCTCAACCTAATGGGCCTTTTATAGATCGGGTTTTCTTTTGCTTTCCTTTTCCGTTGCCTGTTTCTTATGATCATCTATTGTGTCTTCGTAAAGATCTTTTCTTCTTCATTTTTCGTTTTTTTTAATGCTGTGCCAGCCCTATGAAACTGTATGAGTGCACGTGCTTAAAGACCACCCTCTCCCCCCCCCCCCCC